GGCAAACTAGGCAGTCACCTAGGAAGAAAGGACAGAGGAAGATGCCCGCTGTCTGGGGCCAGTGTAGCAGACTGAGTTCCTCTCAGACTCAGTCCCTTACAGCAAGCTGGCTGGCGGCTGCTGATCACTGTGGAGTTTCAGTCCTTCTCTTCCCATTCATCAGTGGAGGTGCACCTGCAGAGGAAAGTAATGGCTGACTCTGATGTCTCGTGTCTGTGTGACTGTGACCTGGTCAGCCATCCATCACATGTGCAACGTGTCAAATCTGACGACATTATTACAATCCCACAGCCTGCTCTACTAGTACTACTAGGGTCACATTGTCAAGGTCAGGAAATAATTTCCAAAAGCGTTTTTTGTTTTTGCCAAGTTTATTGAATATAGACATTTACACAGAACATCGAGAGACAACATTCAATGTTTAATCATTCTTGTGCTTGGTATTGCTTCATTTGAGTCTTTCATGTTGATTTTATTTTTTTTACATCCTTTTTGTTGGGACTGACATGGCTGAGGAGGGCAAGGAGGGCAAGGAGCTGTGCAAACAAAAAGTTTATAATATGAGTACATGTATTAAACAGTTGTTTTCTTAACTGACCGTATAAAATATACAGTATACACTTTCTGCATTGTAGATTAGCAGAGAAACCTGATATTCAGTAGTCACTCTTGTCTTACATGAACAATTATATACTGTAGGTGGTGCATTGTTTCCCTGTTCTCTGAGCAATCCTGTCAGCATTTACACCATAAATTAGTACGGAATCCCGAAATATACTTTTATTACAATTAACCTTTCACCATAACCAGTCTAGGTATACTTTGTCGTTGATCCTCAAGCCCCGAATCACAGAAGCCATGATTTCCATACACTGAACTGATGGCCAACAACCCTGAAACAGTTGTATGCAATTTGGAGAAAATGGCCCTATAATATTTAAATTCCAATTTCAGGCAACTAAAAAATATCCTTTGCAGTACGGCAGTGCCTGCAGCGCAAGCATTAATTGCTTGTCTAGGTCGGAAGAATCTAAGAAGATTTACCTACCTGCTCCTTCACTTCTCTCTGCTGCTAGACATGTCCCTGCAGTGACTTCTCCCCCATGCTCTAGTGGCCCAGGCCTATGATGTCATCAAGATCAATGCAGGGTCCATAACCCTGCATTGCATGTATTAATACCAAAGGACAGTCCACTGATGGAGCCTGTAGAATCAGGGAGGTAAAGTGTTCCTTCTCTCCCCTAGACTAAACAAGTAATTAGCTCTTGTAGTGCGGATGCAGCTCCACTACAAGGGATCAGTTTACATTTTCCCGGAGTTGGGCTTTAAGCAGTATGAGTGTGATAAACCAGTGGTTCTGGATGTAGAGTTGTACCAGGGGCAATACCCATAAGTTTTAGTCCTAATTAAAAATGGATTGTAAAAAAATGACATCTGTAGTAAACACATATACATACATGGTCATATATGACTAGAGTATGTTTAAAAAGAATTTGTATTCCTGATATGTGCCTGCTGTACCATGTACTTGTATGAATAAATATCCTGTTCTCTTTGTATTGCTTCCTTTGTGTGAAATCCCTGGTGTTCCTGCCAGTCCTCTTTTGCTTTCCTATTAAACAATGACCACACTAGGCATGAGAGTACAGCATGGTCAGTTTTCTGTCTGTGCTGGGAGCTAATCCAATGATCAGGCTTGTGATGACATGCCTCCTCTGCACAACTGTTTACTGGGAAGATCAGTGTGCTGCTGTTTCTCCTCCCCTAGTTCTCTGAGCTCCTTATGTAGCTGAGAACAGATGGTATATGTTCACTTACAAAAAAGGGGATGTGCAGTAGAGCAGCAGCACTCCTGGGTCAAACCCTCCTCATTGGCTGAGACACAGCAGTGGGAGCTATTGGCTCCTGCTGCTGTCAATCACAGCCAGTGCTGTGCCGAGCAGGGAGAGCTGTGCTCTGTGTGTCTTATGGACACACAGATGTGTTGCAAGATCGAGCACACACGAGTGCCCCCAGAGCAAGCTGCTTGGTCTGGGAGCACATGTGCATGCTCACTCTTGCGATGAGCATGCGAGGGGAGGAGCATGGACGGGGGGCCTGAGAAAAGGAGGATCGGAGTTGCTCTTTGCAAAATCATTGCACAGAGCAGGTAAGTATACAGTAACATGTTTGTTATTTAAAAGGGAAAAAAAAAGATTTGAACATTTAGTATCACTTTAAGATTTTTTGCTAATTACTGTACATGTTGATACTGTTGGCCCAAAGTGAACCTGCAATAACAGAAATATAGAGGAAGCCATAGCTGACTTGTTTTTGACCTTCTGGAAGGTTTTACCCCCTGCACACAAATAGAGCTTTCTTTTAGTGATATTTGATCATCACTGAGGTTTTCATTTTTTTCTATATAAATTAAAAAATCCTGAAAATTTAGAATTTAAAAAAAAATTGTATTCCATTTTTTTTTAACTTTCTTTTACTTTTTTTTCCCATAATGTCATCATAGTGACACTATACTACTCTGGGGGGGGGGGGGGTGATCAGGGATTTTTTTTTTTATCACTCTGGGTTTGCCTATAACAGAGATGATCAATGTTAAAACCAATAGTAAACTGTCATGAATGGCTTTCAATTCATAACAGCTGCCACTGCTGACATGTTTTGAAAAGGTGCATGATGAATTGGAGTAGTCAGGCCAATCCTGGCTTCACTACATAGTTAGCCACTGATCTAGAGCCAGAGCACAGGCAGAAATTACTGCACTTCTGTACTGGATACTTGTCCAGGTCTGTGACTCCATGTACTAAGGCCAAAATCGTAATACAGTTTTTTCCATTTTTATCTTTTTAAGAAGATTCTCCTTCACTTCCTGACCTGTAAATTCAAAGTATACCTAATGACAAATGTCCTCATATTCCTATTTTGGGGGCAATTAAAAATTTTGGATCTATCCTCACTTATAATCCTGGGGACATTGTTGACATTGGTGATCTCCCTAATGAAGACACAAAGGTTTTAACCCCTAAGCCACTCTATCCAAATCTAAAAAAAGTTTTGCCTTTAGAAATACTTTACCAAATAGTAAGCCTTGGCTGCTCCCATATATAAATTGCCCTAAACGCAGTGAAAATGATTTACTACTAATGTGTACAACATAAATCTTTCCGCAAAAAAATATATAATGGCAATATATGCCAGCTGAATACATAAAAAATTACATTTGTAAATGATTTTTGATGTTTACAGACTCACCAGGCTTAGGGCACTTTGGTTTTTGGTCCTGACATTGCTGCACTGGTTTGCATGCTGCAAAAAGAAAAGTAGGGACATTATTTATGATGCCACATGTGGTTTAGCCATTAGATCACTATTGGTAATGATAAGATATAAAGGTTTAAAGAACAATTCAAAAAGAAAACACTAAAGCCGAATTTGAGAAAAGTGTCTAATAGCAAATATTTCTATTTCTTTGATCTCTGATAGTTGCTCAGACTTACAGCAGCATATTTGTAAGGCACGGGACAGCACTAAAAAATTATAGGAGAAAATAATGCACTTGCTGGTGGTGATTGATTAAAATGTATTCTTACATAAAATACCTGAACTTGTAACAGAAAAATTTCTATGAAACAAGCATGTTATTTAGGTTGTCAGATATGTTTTTCTTCATTAATCCTTTATACGTTATACAATCCTTTGAGTTAACTTATTATTTTTTTACTGGTGACATAAGACATGGATTTAAATGAACACCTCAATGTTATAGACACTAAAACAGTGTAAGACCATTCAGTCAATTTTTCCACTATCTGAAAGCTTATATAAGCATAAAATGCTACTTACGGTCCTGGCACTTCTGATCATGATGTCCATGGTGCTCTTGATGTCCATGGTGTTCATGTTGCCCATGGTGTTCATGATGTTCATGGTGTTCCTGATGTCCATGGTGTCCACCTTTAGTTGAAGACATTGTTGTTGGTTGGGTGTTAGCAAGTAAGCTCAAAATTAACTCAAAGGAATAGTAAGTTATGTTTTGACTGTGTTGAACCTGTTGCTTTTATACCCAAGTTGTTTCCTGATTGTAACGGAGGTGTTGAAAACCTTGAAAAACCAGTTTGATTTTTTCCAAACCTGACATTCCTTTTATTCAGGAATCTTTAGAACAAAAAATAATTATAATGTTCCATAAAGGAAGAGGTGTTGCCTTCTTAGTGTGTCATTTAGTTGCCAATTACACCCAAATCTTACATTAGTTGTGGATGATTCACTTTTTGAACTTTAGGTCAAGATTTCCATAGCCGATACCATGACTGAATTATTACATAGTCCCAGAATTCCACATTTTTGTTGCTCTAACTGTAAAGTACCCTCTACACAGTTTCAGATTAAACCTTTCCTCCAACCTCAAATTGTAACTGCATGCCCTTGTCAGGGACCTAAGGTTAACCACTTTTCCTCCAGGAGATTTACCCCCCTTCCTGAACAGGCCATTTTTTGCATTACGGCACTGCGTTACTTTAACTGACAATTGCGCCAGTCATACAAAGTTGCACCCAAATAAAGTGTATGTCCTTCTTTCCCACAAATTAAGCTTTCTTTTGGTGATATTTGATTGCCAGTGCTTTTATTTTTTGCACTATTGAAAAAAGCAAATGACAATTTTAGGAAAAAAAATATTTTAGACTTATTGCTATTAAACATGTCTAGTAAAAAATGTTAAAAAATCCAATTTTGTCATAAATGAATGCCAAAATGAATTCTGCGACATGTCTTTGCTAAAAAAAATCCCAATACGTGTAAATGAATAAAAAGTTATAGCATTTACAAAAACAAAATGAGTATAGAAATCAATATAAATGCCAAAAACACATAAAAGCTAAATTCTATCAATAAAACTGCTGGTAATTATAGCGGTATAGATAATGGGATTTTCTTTTTCTACTAGTAATGGCGGCAATCAGCGACTTTTAGTGGGACTGTGGGACTGAGGCAGATATTCTGACATTGGGGGGAACTGAGTTGGTGTCACTGACATCTCCAGTGACACCAATACAGTGATCAGTGCTAAACAAAAAGCACTGAAACTGTACTAATGGCACTGGGCAGGAAAGGGTTAATATGAGGGGTGATCAAAGGGTTAACTATGTGTAGGGAGTAACATAAGTAGATAAGGTGGTGTAGCGCTAATACCATGTGATAATAGACATAAAAATATAAATAAAGGACTCGATATTAAATGGGGGAATACATAATTGATATGAATAAATATATAGGTGTACAGTGGTGCACCTAATGTGTAGCCCAAAAACATGCCATCAAGAATGTGACTAAATATAAGTGATAGGTGATATAAATGAAACAAATATTAACCAAATATAAATACATGTGATCATAAATAAACAATATTCATAGATCATATAGCACAAAGTCCCAAACGTATAACTGTGATGAATCAATCTTCGACCGTGAAAATAAATACGTGCTCAAGTGCGTCAGACCATCTGTCACCGTCTAGCATGCACGCTTACCTCCAATCCTCATGACCCTCAAGGAGTCATGAGGCATAACAGATCACCAGTTAGTTCCAGGTTGGATGAATTTCACTCTCTGGATGGACACAGGATCAGCTTCCACACAGCCCACGGTTAATCAACCATTACAATGGTAAGGCACCTTTACAAAACTCCTCCACTCTCCTACTCACACATTAAAATCTGGTCATAGACCAACCAGGCATGAACTGTATAACCCACAGTCAGGGTGCTTGAATAGGGAGTCCAAAGATGGCTGCCGTCTGTGCGTAATTGCGTCACCACGCTCCAGTCCGATATGCTGCGTCACAATAACATGTGACTTCCCCAGTAATGGTGGCGATCAGCGACTTTTAGCTGGACTGTGGGACTGAGCCGGACTTTCTGACACTGGGGGGGAAACTGAGTTGGTGTCACTGACATCCCCAGTGACACCAATACAGTGATCAGTGCTAAAAAAAAAGCACTGTACTAATGGCACTGGGCAGGCAGGGGTTAACATGAGGGGTGATCAAAGGGTTAACTATGTGTAGGGAGTGTTTTACTAGGGGGTGGGGCGGCGTGTGTGCTTCACTGTAAGCACACTGCTCTGGATGGCTGTGCTGTGCCTGAGCCGACATGGAGGAAGACTGTTTGTAAAAAAAACAGTCTTCCTCCCGTCGAAGATGCTTGGTAATCACCGGGCTCCGGCGGGTAATTACCGCCCAGGGCCCGGTGATTGACAGCCGCAGCTGTGAATGGCGGTGCTGGTAGGGCGACTACCCGGTAATGCAGAATCACGTATATCTACTATAGGGGTGGCGAGGAAGCAGGCAGGGAGGAAGCAGTTAATGGAGAGGTGCTGGAATAAAAAAAAAAATAAGCCATACATACTTACCTACTGTAGCATCGATCTAATGCCTCAGCTGTCCCCCGCCAGTCTCTAACCTCAAAAACTAGGCGATCTCGTGACCGCTGATCGCTCAGCTCTCGGGTCTGCTCTGAGAACAGAGTGGTGACTGTCAGTTACTGTTCTGTGCTTTGCCCCTCCAGAACTCACAGAAGCCCAAGGCAGTAGAGCGGGTGGGAACGGCTGGCTCAGGCTCTCTCTCTGGACTGGCTCTGTGACGTCAGTCATCAAAGGACTTTATCCCAATGTCAGCTGATTCTGGGTCACAGCGGAGAAAAACTAATTGCACTCGTGTGCACATGAAAGCATGGCCAAAAGGGGCATTGGCCATGCTTCTCTTTAAGATTCAATAGTATGTTGCCACCTTTTCAGTCACCATTGATTAATTTGTAGATAGTAACCATGTTAATCCTCTTAAGTGCCTCTTCACTATGGTAAATAAGTATAATTTACTTAATTGTTCCTCATACCTGAGGTCCTCTGGTTCCCCTTACTAATTGTGTTGTTCTTCACCTATGAAGCCAAACCAAAGGGTTAAAAGTTTAAATTTATCCATTGAATAAATTCCCTTTTTTTAATGCATGAGAATATTCTGCTAGCTTTGTTAGCTGCAACCTGATATTGCATGTTATTGCTAATTTTTTTAACGCACCAAGCTTGCATTCAGGAGTAGATTTTATCAGCGTTTCAAACACCAAACGCTTGTAAATGTGGTTAACCGCGTTATAAGTGTTTGCGTTTGGAACATTTTTTTTAACCATTTCCAGATGCTGTCCAGAGTCTTTTTTCATTATGAAAAATGCATGCAGAGCGTTTTCCTGGTACTCAAATGGACCTGGTATACCATACTTTGAGGTTTCGCATGAAAAAAAATATGTTAGACACTGCTGCAATAATTTCTGCACAGAAATGAGCTGGAACACATCCAAACACCACAAAAAAAAAAAAGACAGCTAATCTCAACAAATACTCTCTCTCTGCTTCTGCTCTCTATATTTCTCTCAAAATGTCTGAAATAGTTAATTTTTTTACTGTTTTTTACTGTGCATTCTGGGCATTTTGGAAGGTCTCCTGAGGTTATCTTTAAAAAACACTTCTAAATGCAAACGCTCATAAACACGCATAAACTCTGTATGCAAACGCGGCTAAACAGATGTTTTTTAACCTATGTTTTCCAGCAGTCAGTTTCCATCGTTCAGAAGTGTTTTCCAAGTGTCCCGTGTACATGAACCCTAAAGCTACATGTGGGGATCACATGGAATTTCTAGCTTGACAATGAGGGTTTAAGCACAGGGCCAAACTGACCCTCCACTGGTTACAGCAGAAAAAAGGGAAGGTTCTGGAGTGGACATCACACTCTCCTGACCTCAAAACCTCAAAAAGACCTCAGTTCATACAAGTTGACCAAAGACTGCATGATCTGGAGGCATTTTGCCAAGACAAGTGGACAGCTGTACCACCTGCAGGAATTTGGGGCCTCATAGACAACTATTACAAAAGACTGCCCGCTGTCATTGATGCTAAAGGGGGCAATAATATGAATGTGAATCTCATAAGAAATACAAGAAATGTGTTTTGCCTGCTCACTCATGTTTTCTTTAAAAATGGTATATACAAATTTATTGGGATTTTTATGGCATATTTGGGAGGAATTTTTATTTTTTCCAGATTTATACATATATACAGCGCTACAAAAACAATATACCAACCTTATCTTCTGTTTAATTTCTAATGGAAGCAATTTTTAAGGATCAGACGGAACTGTACTGACCCTAGAGACATATCATACACAGCCCAAAATCTGAACTTTGCCCAAAAACAGTCACAGAGACATACAGACAACAGCACTGCCCATCAATGCAGCCTCACCAATGCCCATCAATGCAGCAGCTCAACCAGTGCTCATCAATGCAGTCTGATCAGTGCCCATCAAAAATGCAGTCTGATCAGTGCTCATCAATGCAGCCTCACCAGTGCCCATCAATGCAGCCTCCCCAGTGCCCATCTCAATGCAGTCTCTGCCCATCAATGCAGTGATCCCATCAATGCAGCCTCACCAGTGCCCATCAATGCCCTCCCCATGCCCATCAATGCAGCCTGATCACCATCAATGCAGCCTCACCAGTGCCCATCAATGCAGTCTGATCAGTGTCCATTAATGCAGCCTCACCAATGCCCATCAATGCAGTCTGATCAGTGTCCATTAATGCAGCCTCACCAGTGCCCTTCAATGCAGTCTGATCAGTGCCCATCAATGCAGCCTCACCAGTGCCCAACAATGCAGCCTCGCCAGTGCCCATCAATGCAGTCTGATCAGTGCCCATCAATGCAGCCTCACCAGTGCCCATCAATGCAGTCTGATCAGTGTCCATTAATGCAGCCTCACCAGTGTCCATCAATGGCATTGATGGACACTGGTGAGGCAGCATTAATGGACACTGATCAGACTGCATTGATGGGCATTGGTGAGGCTGCATTAATGGACACTGAGCAGACTGCATTGATTCAATGCAGTCTGATCAGTGTCAATTAATGCAACCTCACCAGTGTCCATCAATTCAATGCAGTCTGATCAATGTCCTTCTCCTCGGCTGTCTGTCACTGCCCAGCGTGGGAGAACTAAAGGCAGCCCCTCCAGAGATCACAGACTCCACCCCTCTATCATTTACTCGCCGCGCTGGCCGGATCTACATCCCCAGCACACAGTACTATCACTGGGGGCGGAGCCGAGGGGCAGGTGAGGGAGCTGAGGGTGGGAGAGGCAGAGCCAGTCAGAGTGGTGCTGGTGGAATGAAAGTGAAAGTATCCAGGGGATGCCATCGTGAAAGTATGCAGGGGGATGCCAAATATTTCAAAACACCCTGCAGGCCGGATAAATGTCCTCAGCGGGCTGCATGCGGCCCGCGGGCCGTAGTTTGAGGACCCCTGATATAGACAAACGCATTACTTTTACTAGTAAAAATGTGGTGTACCTCCTGCAATTCCCTTGCAAACTTCAATACGTGGGACGTACCACCAGATGCCTTAGAGATAGGCTAAGAGAGCATGTCAGCAACATTAAAAAAGGTTACAAGGAGCATTCTGTATCACATCACTACAGGAGGAAACATAATAGAGATCCATCCTCATTGCAATGTATAGGGATAGATATGGTACAGTAGTTCTCCAAGATGTTTGGAGCAACCTATCTTCCAAGTTCCTTCAAAAGCAAGGTGTAAGTGTACACAGAAGAATTGATGCTGGTTTGAAGTCAAAGGGTAGTCACACCAAATATTGATTTGATGTAGATTTTTCATCTGTTTGCTCACTTTACATTTTGTAAATTGATATGTATGTGCAAAAAATGCAAAAACAGCTCTAACAGTGAAAGGTTAAATGATACTAGATATGAGCCACAGAGTAGGGCTGGATTGGGGTGGGCGGCCGGAGTAGGGCTGGATTGGGGTGGGCGGCCGGAGTGGGGGCTGGATTGGGGCGGGCGGCCGGAGTGGGGCTGGATTGGGGCGGGCGGCCGGAGTGGGGCTGGATTGGGGCGGGCGGGCGAAGTGGGGGCTGGATTGGGGCGGGCGGTCGGAGTGGGGCTGGATTGGGGCGGGCGGCCGGAGTGGGGCTGGATTGGGGCCGGCGGTCGGAGTGGGGCTGGATTGGGGCCGGCAGCCGGAGTAGGGCTGGATTGGGGCGGGTGGGAGTCAAGATTGTTCCCTGT